ACTCAATTTGCACTATTTCTGGCAGTCTGCAACCCCCCTTAGTTATAAACCGGCTAACCCGAGCTGGCATAAAATTAGAAGTAGGCAGCATCCTGATAGTATCAGATGCATTTAGCCGCCAAAATCTCTGCCTGGGTGCAGCCCGGCTTCATTGCCGCTCCAAGGGGTGCTTTGGAGGCCATTTTTTCAAGCCAAAATACTCCTAGCTTTGAAAAAACGCACAAGGAGCACCCCTTGGAGTGGCAATGGAGCCAGGCTGCACCTGGGTGGCGATTTTGGTGGCTAAATGCATCTGATACTATCAGGATGCCGCCCGCTTCTAATTTTAAGCCGGCTCAGGTAAAATGGTTTTCAACCTAATCCGATAGTCTCCTTTGAATTGACTTAGCAAAAATGACACACTGACTTGACATGACTTGAGACTTGTATATTTTTAGTGATTGACTTGCTGGTGCTGTTCACTTTGAGCAGCAGGCAAATCCTGCTCCAAAAGTGTAGGGCACATTTCTTGGAAGGGAACAATAGATGAATTAGGCAATAGGCTTGAGGTGGAAGGATCCCTCTCAAGCTTTTGAAAAGCTTTAGAAGGATCCTTCCACCTCAAGCCTATTAAAACTTTTGAAAAGCTTTAGAAGGCTCCTTTGATATGCATTGGACACAGGCTGCTGAGCAGACCTCAAGCTCTTGCTCCAGCCCATTGCCTAATGCGTTTGCTGTGCCCCTCCGAGAAACATGCCCCACCACCTTTTTTTCTGTTAAAAGCTGGCTCCCAGACTTGAAAGTTGACTTGAAACTCAACCTGAAAGTATCTTGCGAGCACTTGAGATACTTGAGACGTGAAGGTACTTGAGACTTGGACTTTTGAATATATCACTGGTGTTTTCCACTTACAATTGCATCTAATGTAGCAAAGTGGATATGCCTGTAAACTGTGAGACATGACATTCCTGGTTCACCATTTAAATGTGCCATGAATGTACTTTATTCCATCCTCCATTCTGGGGTTAAGATAGGCCTATTATTAACCCCAGAATTGAGGATGGA